GAAGAGCGAATGTTCTTTCATTTAAAGTTAATGACCTAGTACTACTGTCTACGGTAAACTTACCTGGACATGCAGTCACTAGTGTCGGCAGTAGTAAACTACTGCCGAAGTACATTGGGCCATTTCGAGTGTTGCATCGCAAGGGCAATGCATACACACTCGAATTGCCACGTAGGATGCGCACGCATCCTACGTTTTACGTGGGGAGGCTCAGACGGTACTGTCAGTACGAGCCTTCTTCTTCCGATGAAGATAGCCCCCACGTTCAAGAACATCCATCAAGTTCTTGCGTTCGCGCTCCAGACGATCCGTCTGGTCGCGCAGATATGATACCTCGGAACTCCACCGAGTTATCTCTCCGCGAGCTGTCGCCAGCTCGCCGAATAGGGAGCGGACATCCCGCTCGACCTGAAGCTACGCTGTGGCATAATCGGCGCGATCCCTCGCCCGATCAGCTTCGCGATCCTAGCGGTTCTTCCGCATGGTATCAGTCAAAGCGTAGCGCCGGTCGCGCTCGTGCTTCAAGTCATCGCGCAATTCATCGATTGCGCGATCCATCTCGTAAGGGTCGAGATGGTGAACCGAATCATCTGGAGGAGGTCTTTCCTCCTCTTCCACATCCTTTGGTGGATGCTCACGGTGATCAACGCTTTCTAGTGGAGCGTATCTTGAATCAACGTGACGATTCAGGATCAAGGACGAGCTACCTCGCCCAGTGGCGGGGGTATCCACCCTCTTGGAACAGCTGGGAGCCCCGCTCTCAGCTGTTGATGGATGTTGAAGGTCTCGTCCGCCAGTATGACGAGACCCATCCGATGAGTCCTGTGGCCCATCGGTAAAAACGCGCCCTAGGCACTTGTAGACGGATTGCAAGTTTGCAATCGCGTCACGCATCTGAGACGAGATGTGTGCCCTTCCCCAGGGCGTACTTAGGGAATACACATCCCTATGTGCACGCTGCGAGTTGTCAACACAACTCGCACAAGGGTCTCCCCATGTGAGGCAAGGAATGCCTGCCTCACTAGATAAACAATGCAAACGGTACCTAGCACCGGTCAGCGTTCGCCTTTCGAACCTGAGGCGTGTTGCCTCAAGTTTCTTGAGCCACCCATCCCGTCCAAAATTCTTGACGTTTTGGACGAGCGCGTTCCACGCAGCCAAAAGCGATGTTTTGTCACGCTTTTGGTTGCTATTGTACCATCGATGTCTAAGAAAGACATCGAGATAAAATTCTTCCTCTGCGCGAAAGTTCTTCTCGCTGAAACTCAAGCCGTGAAGCTCAGTCGCATCGAATAAGGGTATTCGATGATGTTGGCTTGTCTCGTGAGACAAGCGATTGATGAGCCGTTCAGGCAAACGTCACGGCTTCAGCTCATCACTCTTCACAGTAGTAACCTTGTCGGTACCACGGTTGTCAGTGTGACGATGGCTTGCACCATCGTCAAGTCGCTCGTGCGAAGGAACACGAGTTGATCGCGGCGATGAGCAATCATACTCATCATCAGACTCATCGTCACTTCCGTCAGAATGTGACGCATGTCACAAGTCCGTACGTCCGGCAGTGTCGTGGATAAATGAGTCACCGCAGGTGATTGCGATTCCTCCAAAGGCTTTTCCGAGTCAGACACGTCTGACCCGCCAGAATAGATAACCTCTATGTCAGGGTCATCATGCGCACGCGGTGTGATACCGCGTGCACCTGCAGCTCCTGTTGCTGCAAGCGGAGAACGAGCAGCAGACGACGAATCGTCTGCCGCAGAGGCTTGCACAGCAGCGGGCTGTGGGTGTCTTGAGTCACCTCGCATAGACATGTTAACTATGCGAGGTCGAGCGGAAAGTGAATGGAACGGACCCAACAAGTGCTCCCTGTCCCAATGGTGGCCAACGGGTGGCCTCCATATTTCGATAGTCACACGGTGACTATCAGTTAAGGGGGGGATGATGTAACCGGGCAGCCCGTTACATGGAAATTGTCGTTTAAGAGAAAATGACAATAAAGAATATAAAGTTGGATATTCTTTTAACAATATCACCAATAGTGGTGATAATGACAGGTCGACCAAAGAGTCTGTTCATTGGTTGATATCTTGATGATATCAACCCACCAATCGCCGCAGGACGCGCGCAATGAGTGGTGACGAGACGTCGTCATATATTCAGTTAGATTAACATAATCAATTTAAGTCAAAAAGAGAGACAGTGGATTAAAAACTTTATCATAATAATATAACAGTTCTACTTTTCCCTAAGACAGTGTTGCCTCTGTCTTACCTACCGCTTCCTTGGATGCCTCGTGTACGCTTGTCGGTGCACGATACCCGTGCGTTAAGTTCACGCAAGGGTGTGCCCCGTTACACTTCATGACCCACCCAGCGACCATGGACGATGCACGGTGGAATCAGCGGATGTGCAACCTGTTCACGATGCGAGTTGGAGCTACTGCCATATTACTTGCGACGAATGGCTGGTAGCTCAGTGAACGGATGGGTATGTCGGTGATGCTGCTGTCGCAATCGTATTGACTCTTCGCCGAGGTGAGCAACATGCACTTGTCACCAAGTTTTTCCGATATGAACTTGAAGAGTGTAAGAACACCTTGCTCTAGAGAAAGTGTCTAGTAGCATTGGTAGCTGGTAGGTATAGCCACTTGACAGCTCGACGTGCTTCAAGAGTGGTGTTCTTACACTCATGATTGTGATATGTCATCAGAAGATAGTGCATCTGAGCAGTCATGTCCGCGTCGGGACAGGATTTTTGATATCAATCCATTCGGAGTAACACTCAGCTAAACGTGAATACCTGTTTTGACGATTATTCTATGTAGTCATTGTCGAGGAAGCTCTTCACACCGTTGACGATGCATTTTTGGGCGGCTTTTGCTGCACACCGCGTAGGCTTGTTTGATCCATGGTGATGGACGTTGAAAGGGATAAATGTAACGTACACGTACTATATTTTTTGAGACCGCCTTAACGGGGATCCAGACACTGCGAAACCAAAGTCAAAAATGCACCGATTTAGTAGAGGGTGATGTAACGATATAACCCGCTACATGCCATTGGCGTTTTATGTAAAGCTTGATCTGAATAAAATCGACACTGCGTAACTCAAATCAAAAATGCGACGAGTTAGTAAGGGGGATACAACGAAATAACCCGCTACATGCCATTGGCGTTTTATGTAAAGCTTGATCCAAATATAATCGATGCGGCATTTTATTCAACTATAGACCCTAAGCTTATGATGATCAGCAATAAAATACTCAAAGTGAGTATTCCAGCAATATTATATGTGAAAAGAATATTTACGATGTTTCGCTTTGGAGGATATATCAAGGAATATCACGTTCAAGGGGAAACTCTGTCTGTTCACATTCTAAGAAAATATGAAGGAAGTATCTTTTTGGAGGGAATACAAAAGAAACGTAACTTTCTGAGGCAATTTCCGGCGGCTGATGACGACACTCTACTCATCGTTCACACAGACCACGATGTGAGCTGACCCATACACTTTTCATAACCAGACGCGCGCAATGTGTGGAGAACGAATTGTCGCATATCCATTTACTGCTAGATATTATCGGTTGGACAAAACTGGTGATAAATGTCATAACTATCCTGAAAATAGTCCTATATTGGCCCATTCAACGAAGCGTGCTCTACGATGTCCTCCGCGCTTCCACATACGTATGCCTTTTGGTGCACGTGCCTTATTGTTGTCAGTATGCATAGCTTATACTGAGTCAGCATAGGTGATTCGTACTCCGTTCTATGGTCGACTTCGTCGATGTTACCGTCCGCCTCGCGCTCGTCACAATCACTCACGTTCTGCAGATGACAGCGGCCAAAGTGCCGCTTGGGATCCGAGACGATGCCGTACCCATCGACTGGGCCTTGTCGTCGGTTATGGTGTAGAAGTTGAACCCTGACATCGGCAAGCATTTGGCCATCCGTCATCTGCCACGGGACTCTCGTTCTAACGCAAACACTGAGTCAAACCACTGCATTACCACGGCTTCTACCGCGATGATCGTTGATGGAAAATCAAACCACATGGAAAGCAGTAACAGACGCACCCTCACCTTTCGGCACTCGTAGAAGCCAACCTTGACGCCTGAACAGAAATTACCCGTCAAGAGTATGAGGATTGTAGATATCGGACGTAGTTTCCGGCCTTATTGTAGGTGATATTGGCTTGGCGGAGTGGTGACGTGTGTTTGCTACTGTACGCTTTGTTTGCGTACGCAAAGTGACTTGCCTTGCATATGGAACCCACTGTTATCCTGATGCGATTGACAACTCCGATAGGCTCTCAAACTTCGCCGTCTATCAAGCCAGTACTCATAAGGGGGAGGGGGGAGCCAAAGCTCCCGCTGCAAATCGAAGACTCAATCTGCACGATGGTAAGCGGTAACAGCAGTGCCTCCTTTGTCCTATCGACACTTCGTCGCGCTTGACAAGCATGTTTCGTGTCCCTTTTTCGTGCGGTCAATAAATCCGCATGTTTCTAGAGCGCTCGTGAACGTGTGACAAGTGTGCAATGCCTACAGCCATTCTCTACCGGCTCCTCTTGCAGCAAGAAACGCTTTTGATTGTCCGCGGCTTCGAACATACCCACCACTTTCGCGACCGCACCCAGCAACAATCTCCAGGTCCATACGCTCCGTGGTTGTTTTCGAGTGAGTCTGCGGTTTTCTTCGGCACGCTAGATGCATCCAGATGTACGCGCGACATGACTGAGCAACCTTTCAACGATCGGCCAGAACGCCTCAGCCTCGGGAATACTGCTGGATCGATGGGTATTTGCGACACTTTTACCCTACGCATCGTATGCCAACAATCCCTTCCCAGCCATCACTTTCAAGCTTCAATGACGTGCTGCCCATGGCACGACGATCGTCTGTAGCTGCGTCGTAACGGACAGAATAGTAAGCGATCATCGCAGTCTGGATCCTCACTCTGCCTTCTTCCTTGCCGCCACCATGACCACGTCCTCGAAGTATGAAGATATTCGCGCTGCCCATTGTGGCGCTTGCCAGCATCCTGTCGATAACTGCCGACAGTGGAACGTGCAGTGGACCACAAGCTCGGTTCAAACCGCCGCCTGGTGCAATCGTTGTCGATGCGAAGGGTGATCCCAAGCACGACCAAGGCAGCTACCGGACGATGAAGGAGGGCTTTGCAAAACTTGATGTCCGTACGGATAAAGAGCAGACGATCTTTATCTTTCCGGGAGTCTACAAGGAGCAGGTGGTCGTTCCGCCTCTCAAAGACGCTCTCGTGATCCAAGGCGCCACGTGCGATGCGACGTCGTACGTCAAGAACGAGGCGACGATTACGCACGCGATGGCGCGGAAGGACCTACCTCCTGATGTGACTGGTGATCACAATGCAATGACCAGCACAATGCGGTTCGAGTCCAACAACGTGAAGGTTTACAATCTCAACATCGCCAATACGGCAGGCAATGTGGGACAGGCCGTCGCTGCTACCGTCGACGCCACAAACTGCAGCTTCTACGGCTGCAGCTTCACCGGATATCAAGACACTTTGTTCGTAACGGGGCACACCCTTGCGTAACTTAACGCACGGGTATCGTGCACCGACGGACGTACACGTGGCGAGCGAGGAAGCGTAGGTAGGGTAAAAGTAGAACTGTTATATTAATAAATTAAGTCTTTAAACTACTGTCTCTTCGTTTGACTTAATTCAATTATACTAATATAACTGCATGTATGGTGACGTCTCGTCACCACTCATTGCGCGCGTCTTGCGGCGATTGGTGGGTTGATATCATCACGATATCAACCAATGAACAGACCCTTTGGTCGACCCTTCAATATCACCACTTTGGTGATATTGTTTAAAGAATATCCATCTTTATATTCTTTATTGTCACTCTCCTTAAAGTGACAATTTCATGTAACGGGCTGCCCCGTTACATCACCCCCCTTAACTGATAGTCACCGTGTGACTATCGAAATATGGAGGCCACCCGTTGGCCACCATTGGGACAGGGAGCACTTGTTTGGTCCGTTCCATTCACTTTCCGCTTGACCTCGCATACTTAACATGTCTATGCGAGGTGACTCAAGACCCACAAAGCCTGGTGCTGTGCAATCCTCTGCGGCAGACGCTTCGTCGTCTGCTGCTCGTTCTCCGCTTGCAGCAACAGGAGCTGCAGGTGCACGCGGTATCACACCGCGTGCGCATGATGACCCTGACGTAGAGGTTATCTATTCTGGCGGGTCAGACGTGTCTGACTCGGAAAAGCCTTTGGAGGAATCGCAATCACCTGCGGTGACTCAGTATTATCCACGACCACTGCCGGACGTACGGACTTGTGACATGCGTCACATTCTGATCGGCAGTGACGATGAGTCTGATGATGAGGTATGATTGCTCATCGCCGCGATCAACTCGTGTTCCTTCGCACGAGCGACTTGACGATGGTGCAAGCCATCGTCACACTGACAACCGTGGTACCGACAAGGTTACTACTGTGAAGAGTGATGAGCTGAAGCCGTGACGTTTGCCTGAACGGCTCATCAATCGCCTGTCTCACGAGACAAGCCAACATCATCGAATACCCTTATTCGATGCGACTGAGCTTCACGGCTTGAGTTTCAGCGAGAAGAACTTTCGCGCAGAGGAAGAATTTTATCTCGATGTCTTTCTTAGACATCGATGGTACAATAGCAACCAAAAGCGTGACAAAACATCGCTTTTGGCTGCGTGGAACGCGCTCGTCCAAAACGTCAAGAATTTTGGACGGGATGGGTGGCTCAAGAAACTTGAGGCAACACGCCTCAGGTTCGAAAGGCGAACGCTGACCGGTGCTAGGTACCGTTTGCATTGTTTATCTAGTGAGGCAGGCATTCCTTGCCTCACATGGGGAGACCCTTGTGCGAGTTGTGTTGACAACTCGCAGCGTGCACATAGGGATGTGTATTCCCTAAGTACGCCCTGGGGAAGGGCACACATCTCGTCTCAGATGCGTGACGCGATTTCAAACTTGCAATCCGTCTACAAGTGCCTAGGGCGCGTTTTTACCGATGGGCCACAGGACTCATCGGATGGGTCTCGTCATACTGGCGGACGAGACCTTCAACATCCATCAACAGCTGAGAGCGGGGCTCCCAGCTGTTCCAAGAGGGTGGATACCCCCGCCACTGGGCGAGGTAGCTCGTCCTTGATCCTGAATCGTCACGTTGATTCAAGATACGCTCCACTAGAAAGCGTTGATCACCGTGAGCATCCACCAAAGGATGTGGAAGAGGAGGAAAGACCTCCTCCAGATGATTCGGTTCACCATCTCGACCCTTACGAGATGGATCGCGCAATCGATGAATTGCGCGATGACTTGAAGCACGAGCGCGACCGGCGCTACGCTTTGACCGATACCATGCGGAAGAACCGCTAGGATCACGAGGCTGATCGGGCGAGGGATCGCGCCGATTATGCCACAGCGTAGCTTCAGGTCGAGCGGGATGTCCGCTCCCTATTCGGCGAGCTGGCGACAGCTCGCGGAGAGATAACTCGGTGGAGTTCCGAGGTATCATATCTGCGCGACCAGACGGATCGTCTGGAGCGCGAACGCAAGAACTTGATGGATGTTCTTGAACGTGGGGGCTATCTTCATCGGAAGAAGAAGGCTCGTACTGACAGTACCGTCTAAGCCTCCCCACGTAAAACGTAGGATGCGTGCGCATCCTACGTGGCAATTCGAGTGTGTATGCATTGCCCTTGCGATGCAACACTCGAAATGGCCCAATGTACTTCGGCAGTAGTTTACTACTGCCGACACTAGTGACTGCATGTCCAGGTAAGTTTACCGTAGACAGTAGTACTAGGTCATTAACTTTAAATGAAAGAACATTCGCTCTTCCATTCTTGTCTGCGTTCTGTTTCTGACGATCCACCGCATTTGCGATGGAGTCCGGAACGAAGCGGAATATCGCCTCTCGAGTCAGCAGGAAGTTCTCTGCTGACTCTTTGTTTTGTCTTTCAGTGCGCTTCGTGCGCACTGATAAGAGATTGCTCTCTTCTTCAGCGAGGTTGTCTTCTTCCTCGCTGACATAATCGTTGACTATGCTGAGTATACCAGCATCGTCATCATCATCCGAGTCAATAATAGCGTCTTCGCTATTATTGGGATGATCTTCTTCATCGATGTCGACTTGATCGATATCGGCATCATACGTGATGACGTTTGCGTCGACACGTGATGAGTAAGAGCCAAGACGGTTTTTGCTCGAGCGAGTCCCTCCCCCCCCCTATCCAAGAGTCACACTCTATAAGGGTGGGCACTCGTGGATGGCGTAGGCCATTCAAGTAAAACGGTGTGTGCTGTGTTGAAGCATGCACCGAATTATTGATGGCGAATTCCACCATGGGTAGGAATTCGCTCCAACTCGGAAACGAGTGGACATATCCTCGAAGAATCTCTTCGAGGACACGGTTCGCACGTTCCGTCTGACCATCTGTTTCTGGATGGTCAGAAGTGGACATCTTCAATCGTGTTCCGAGAGTACGGAACACGGTTTGCCAAAATGCCGCCGTGAATTGAGGGTCACGGTCGGATACAAGTTCACGGGGCAACCCGTGGAGTTGGAAGATCGTTCGTGGCAAGAAAGACACGAGCACAGCCGGGTGCCGTGATGGACTCAGGGACAGCAGCAAGATGGACCATCTTGCTGAATCAGTCAACAAACACAAGAATACCATTATTCTTGTGAGCGTCTTTGGGAAAACCGAAGACGAAGTCCATTGAAAGGGACTGCCAGCACTCTGCCGGAACAGGCGGAGGTTGCAATGGTGCACGGCATGAAGGACTGGGCTTCACCCGTTGACAAACCTCGCAAGCACGGATGTACTTGCGAACAAACTGATACTGGCGTGTCCAGTAAAAGTCACGACTTACCGTAAGGTAAGTCTTTTCTCTACCACGATGGCCGCTTGTTGGGGTATCGTGACACTCATACATGATGCGTAAGCGCAAATCATGATGAGCGGGTACGACGACACGAGGCGTGTCGTCGGCAAAAGCTGTATAGTACAGCAATCCGTTGCGTGTACTATACCGATCCGATGAGGATCGGTACAAAGCCGGTAAATCCCTCATGGATTTACTGGATGGATTCACCAGATGATCCATCGATCGCAGAAGATCCTTATCTTCCGCGTATGCCTTTCGTACGTCGTCAAGTAAACTTGACGACGGGACACTGACTGACAGTGTCGCAACAGTGGGCTTGTCCTCACTGTTGGATTGCGCGTCCGGCTCGAAATCGGGCCGGCGCGAAAGCGCATCAGCGACGACATTGAGTCGTCCTGGTTTATACTCCACGGAGAAGTTATACTCCGCGAAGAAAGACAGCCACCTCGCCATTCTTTGCGAGAGGTGCGGGCTGTTTACGGCCGTGCGTAATGACGCATGGTCCGTGTAGACAACAAACGGTCTATCTCCCAAGGGATAGACGCGAAACTTAGCCAGTGCGTATTTCATGGCAAGGAGCTCCTTGTCATGCACTGGGTAATTACGCTCAGCTGCTTGCAGCTGACGCGACTGATAACAGATGACGCACTCCGCGCCATCTGCATCGAACTGCATTAACGCACAGCCGATTGCGAAATCGCTGGCGTCACAGACCACATGAAATGGTCTGTCCTGATCTGCAATCGCCAAGATCGGCGATTGCATCAAGCTTTGCTTGGTACCTTCAAAGGAACGCTGGCACTCAGCGTTCCATGACCACTTGACATTTTTCTTGAGCAAGCAAGAAAGATGAACAGTCATCTCGGCGTAGTTGCGCGAGTACTCGTGCAAGTACGCCGCAAGACCAAGGAACTTCCTTAGTCCCTTGACATCGACTGGCACTGGCCAGTCGGTGATCGCCTTGATCTTTTCGGGATCGGTGCGTACGCCGTGTTTACCCACGATGCATCCAAGAAGTGGTATTTCGCTAGCCGCGAATATACACTTCTTGCGGTTGGCGTACAACTTATGCTTGCGCATAAGTTGAAGAACCTGACGAACGTGAGTTCTGTGAACTTCAACGTCCGTCTTCCCGTCCATAGCCCGGATATGGACGAACACATCGTCGAAGTAACTCGGTGCGAAGTCTCGCACCGGTCTCAACAGATTTGTGACACATCTGTTGAATGTTGCAGGGGCATTACTCAGCCCCTGTGGCATCACTAGCCACTCCCACAGCATCCCGCTGGGGGTACTCACTGCCGTGAACGGGACGTCCCGTTCACGCATCAGAATCTGATAGAATCCATCCATCAGATCCATGGACGAAAAGATGGTACTCTTTGACATACCATCTATGATTACGTCCTTCCTCGGTATCGGCGTCTGAGCCGGTACCGTTGCAGCATTCAACTTGTTGAATGCGTGCACTATCCGCTATCCTCCTGTGGCCTTTCGCACACAAAAGGCCGGAGATCTGTATAGGATGTTGATTCCCTCACATGGCCCGCTGCTAAGCGATCGGCAAAGAAATTGTCGATCGCTATCACTTGTTCACGAGGCAGTGGCCACTGCTTCATGACACAGTATTTCGAGCCCGGTTTGAGCTCGATCTCGTGTCGAGTGCCTTTGTCCTTAGGCAACTCGCAAGGTACGGATTCAGGGAACACGCCCCCTGAATTCGATCAAATCCTTATACAAAGGATTTGCCTGAAGTGACTCCCAGGATTGGGACGCGTATCGCTCAATCCGAGTCTTCTCATCGAGGACACTTTCGTCCATCGATGAGCTGCTGAGAACCCGTTCGTTCTCAGCAAATACTGTTGCCGACCGAATGTCGGTCACATACTCGTCCTCTGTGACGAGTATGCAGATCTGCTTGACTTTGCCACTACGCAGATCACGCAAGAACCGTTTCGGTTCTAGCGTTGGCAACTGAGTTATCTCCGAAGTCAACTTCGGAGGCACAATCAGATCAAGCGTATAAGCGCCTACGCTTGATCCGTCATTAACCAAGACGTTCAACGTCTCGGTTTCTTCCTATGAACCTGCTTCCACAGGTTGCTGAGGGCCTGATTCCTCAGCAAGCAACTCTTGAGGAACTCCTTCCTCAAGTACGTGGGGACTTATTCCCTCGACGTCTTCCGACTGTGCTGTGCAACCACAGTCAGGAACCGATCCTCTACGGTCGACTCTCCATTCGACCTAGGATTTTCATGTTGCCCCTTGGGGGCAACAGGTTTATTTCTTCTAAGATGCTGCCTGCTAGGAATGCATCCATGTCCCGGTCCACTCGACTTATTCGAGTGGTGGACCTTCGGCGCCGCCTGTACTTCTGTACAGCCGCCGGGAGCTTGCTCCACAGTGTAGTGATCAACTACACTGTGATCTTGTGCAGTCGTGCTAACGACCGTACCGCAAGTGAGGCCATCGCACTCACTCGCAGAACATCCACACGCTTGTGGGCGCTCCATGAAGTCCATCAGATGGCCATCTGATGAACAAGCAGCAGGCATCTTCACGGATCGATGCTGCCAGCTCACCCTTGGCTCGTACTTTCTGAGCCAAGGTAATCCCAGGATGACATCAAATTTGTCATCCAGATCTAGTACGATGAAATCATCATCGTACTGCTCGCCCTCTAACATGTAGTGGGTTCCGACTACACGTTTCTCAACGGTTATCGATGCGCCTGTTGCAAGGCGCACCGTCATCCTTGTGAGGGGAATGTCGCGCTCAACGAACTTGAGCCTACGACCCTCTAGTGACTGGCGACGAACAAAGTTGTTCGACGCCCCACAGTCTACTAGGGCACGAAGCGACAAATCATTTGTCGCTTCCAACTTCAAGGTGATGAGCGAAACGTCATCACCAGGTGCAGAGACACACAATGACTGTGTATCTGGAGCAACTTTCGTCAAGAGATTTGCAAATTCTCTTGAGGTTGCTGGATCAGTAGGGCGCTCCGCCCCTACTGACCCCGACCATTTTTTGATGGTCCGTCTCGATGTTGCGGCTTTGCAACAGCTCTGGACCCACGCCCATTGCCCTTTCTGGCAAAAGGCCGTCCATTTCGCTCAGTACTGTTTGGTACTGGGCGTGGAGCACTACACTCGTATGCGTAGTGCCCTAACTTCTGACAGCGATTGCACCTCTGCAATCGCTTGTTGCTTGTAGAGCGAGGTCTCTCGCTCTCAACATAATAGAGGTCCATTGGTTCTGGACCTCCGATCTCTTGTCGTCTCGGTGGACGGTAAGAGTTTGAGCTAGCATGAGCCTGTCTCATGCTAAAGTCTTCCTGTTCCGCGGCTGATATCGCTTCTTCAAGAGTATTCAGCTCAAGGCGGAACAGGTGGCTCCTGACGGGCCCTTCTGCGAGCCCTTGCATGAACACCGTAATCAACGTGTGTTCATGTACTGGATTAGCAGTTATACTACTCGCAAGGAGTCGTATATGTTGTGCGTAAGCGTGCACATCACGCTTACCCTGCTTGAGTTTCAGGAGCTCTGAACGAGCCCTGAACTCAGCACGTGGCGGCTCAAACGTTTGTCTGAGCCGGGACTTGAAGTCATCTAGCGACCTAAACACATTTGGGTCGCTACTCTCGAGTCCCAGGGACCAAGTTTTGGCACGCCCTGCCAAGTGGGTCTGATCAAATGTGAGTTTCATTTGCTCATCTTCGACGCGACGAGCCCTTAGGGCTCTGTCGAGTTCGACAAACCATAGTAACAGGGAGTCCTCCGGGACTCCACTGTACTCGGAGATGTCAACCTTCATGACTTCGGGACGACGCGCATGCGCCGTCCCGCCCACAGCAGCATGGAATTGCTGCTGTCTCAACAGCTCCGTCTGTTGAGCACCGAGTTCTCTCAACTGCTCGGCCTGTTGAGAGCCTTGCTGGTGAAGCAAGGCTACTTTCTCCCTCTCGAGAGCAAGTTCATTGTGGATGAACTTGGCGATAGCAGCATGTTGTTGGTCTCTGTCTAGAGACTCCAACATGGTGCTGACGACGAGTTCGCCTACGGTAGAACTCATTCGTTCTACCGCACCCCATTCGATGTCACTCAAATGGGTAAACCCTTCACGCGTGGCGTGAAAGGTGTCTTCTTCATCCAACATGAACATGTTGGATGATGTGGTCCTTGGAAGGACTACAAGTGCTACCAGGTGTAACGGGGCACACCCTTGCGTAACTTAACGCAAGGGATTTGGGTGCCCCGACGGACGTACACGTGGCGAGCGAGGAAGCGTAGGTAGGGTAAAAGTAGAACTGTTATATTAATAAATTAAGTCTTTAAACTACTGTCTCTTCGTTTGACTTAATTCAATTATACTAATATAACTGCATGTATGGTGACGTCTCGTCACCACTCATTGCGCGCGTCTTGCGGCGATTGGTGGGTTGATATCATCACGATATCAACCAATGAACAGACCCTTTGGTCGACCCTTCAATATCACCACTTTGGTGATATTGTTTAAAGAATATCCATCTTTATATTCTTTTTTGTCACTCTCCCTAAAGTGACAATTTCATGTAACGGGCTGCCCCGTTACATTGTTGACCAAGAAAGGTCTTCAGCTGTATGCGAAGTCATACATCAATGGCGCTGTCGACTATATATTCGGCACCAGGGCGACGGCTTGGTTCGAAGGCTGCGATATTGAAAGCATTGGCAAGGGGTTCATCACCGCCAACGGTCGGTCTAGCGAAGACAGTGATTCCTTTTACGTCTTCAACCACGCGCGCGTGTACAGCTCCGATGCCAACGCTTTCAACACAACCTTCCTTGGTCGTCCGTGGCGGCATTTTGCTCGCGTCGTGTGGCAAAACGGCGAGCTTGGCCGCGTTGTCAATCCTGCTGGTTGGTCAAAGTGGGGAGACGACGACACGTCGAAGTTGTACTTCGGAGAGTTCAACAATTTTGGCCCAGGCGCAGCTACGGGTCATCGAGCAAACTTCAGCCAACAGTTGAACAAAGCGGTGGACATCAAGGAACTCTTTGGTGACAGCTACAAGAGCGAGTGGTGGGTCGACCCATCGTACCTATAGACCCGTGATGCTCGCTTGCTAAGAGCTGCAGTAGTTGTCGTCTTTCTTTTTGCTTTAACATCGATAACACTGCATTCTTGATCTTCTTTTCATCGGACGAACACAAGGCCATACGACTGCGCTAAATACCTGACATTCATTGGGTGCCCGGACTACACAAAGCCTTAATATCATGGACGACACAAAGTCTCGATATCAGGGCGTACCATGGATCCAAACGGCCACCCGCAGCCCACGTAGGCCTTCAGACCGAGAGATGTTCGACCTCGGCGACGCCACGTCACCTCAGTGCATTTTAGGCGTATAGATCAGAGATGACCTTCAGTCGAGTTTCACCGAATCTGTTCATCCTTACGAAGTTACTACTCACGAAAGTCAGTCGCTTGACACGCAGAATAGTGCGCCTCACACTAATGCCGATGTCAACACGTAGCTTTTCTCTACGTCATTTTTGGTCTGCAAGAAAGCGCTTCTGTGTTCTTGCGTTGCTTATCATGAGTCACTGTCCGTCTGTTTCGCGTCGTTGTCGACGATTAAAGGACATAGATGTGTCACAACAGCCCCGCAGCGACACTTCGGTCGGCAAGTGATCCAGAGCCGGAAACGAGACAACCTGTAAGCGAGGCAACCCGTAAACGCGACGCGACGCCCCGATGGTGTACCCTTTGCAATACATGTATTGCTTGCGACAAAGTCGACCATCTGATCAATGCTCTTCGATCTGCACTTGTTGTTGATCGCGAATTGTGGACAGCTGTCGATCGCATGATCACGTCTGCCGATGGACAAGCTTCAACGTATTGGTCAAGAAATAGACCGAGATTTCATGACGGTTTCTTACTATAGGAGTATGCACAAGATGTCCGATACGTCTGAGCTAGATACAAGCGCCAATCTGTAGCTTGTCGAAGCAGATCTCTATGGAAGCCGATAATCCTCATGTAAAAGAACGAAAAGGTTGATAGAGGCGCGTAGTAGATGTGAAGGGGTGAACCTGTCACATGCCATTAGCACGAAACATGTCAGTGCAAGCAATATCTTATTGGTGATATTTAGCAATATTACTCTTGCGGGGAATTACTAAATGAATATTACCTATAGAGGTAAATTTCGGCGCCGCTTCACCTGTAATTGATAGAGGTCCTTTTCCTAATCAAATAACCACTAATCGTAATCATACGCGCGCAATGGGTGGTGAGCGAGATTCTACATTGTACGGGTCTAGATGAATGTAGTGTATGTAAGAAAAGAAGATTTATCATAAGAGGCTTCGAGTATTTTAAACCCAGTTTAATTTTTCGTGACTCTGAGCAGTTTCTTCCTCAGGTAGTTCTTTCCTCTGCACGTACCCTGTCCGTGATGTTTCGATGCAAAAACTTTTGTACTGTATCGATGCGCGTTCTTGCTAGTTATGATAATAGTTCCACCTCATTACTACAAAATCCCTTGTACACCAGGGTCAGGACCGCGACGTTCGCGTTTACCCAGCTTTGTGAGTTAGCATATTACCCAGTTCCCAAAACTGTGAAGCGATTTGCGATGTCGTGGGCTCACATTTCGAAAAACAACGCCATTGAGCACAATCCATAAGCGAGTCCGACATATCCCTACGCAATAGGAACTAGATCCGTTACCAGTCGTTTACTCTTGTCTCGACGCCGTATACAGGCACTCAATGTCTCTGCTGTTGTGATTACTCGATCTTGTCGGGATGCGAACCCGACAGAGAGACCAGGATCATCCAGATATAAATCCGATAACCATGTACAATGACTACAGAATTTTACTTTGGCGCACGTGTCTTTTTGCAGGCCCAAAGATGTGAGACGAAGTGTATTCACACTGTGGCAGGCGACATATTCTGAAAACTGTTATCAACCTGACGATCCAAATTGTAAATTAAGGCTCCTGGTATCATTCAGTATTAAACTTAACGCTGAGTTTGCTTCTAGGCACTATGCATGGTCCTGCATCTTACATGAGCGATAATGCGCCTCTACATGCGACCTTCAAACATTGCTGATAATTGTGATGGGGTACTCTCACTTGTACTACCACATTCGAGCTACCTATACTGACGAAGAGTAGGCATATGATTCGTATCCTCAAGTCCACTGTACGTGCAGAGAAAAGGTCACCTTCTGAAAGAACACGTTTACGAGATGGAAAAGGTAGTGTACTTTATCTATATTTATATTTCCTACCAACATCTTTTTTCATATTGGCTTGACTATATTCGACTACAAACTTAAACTCGAAACTCAATCGCCACCATTTGCGCGCGTCTAGCAGTGGCCGGTGGTAGTTACGTGAGTTTATATAAGGGCCTTAATCATAAATAATTGGAGCTACTATTCCATTCAAGCTTTTATGAAGCAATTCGATTTGCTCGATATTAGCAATTTGAGAACATTTATATTGACCCAATCTGGTATCAACGATATGTAGCGGTCTTGACGTTGACATCCAAGCCACCACTTGCTAGTACATCAATTGAGTGGTAGCGACAGGCTGTCGTCGTTTGTAAAGCCGAACGCAAGCCGAAAAAGTGTCGTCCAAGTCGAACCGCTCGCGGCGTGATCTGCGACTGATCGAATTCCGGTGGTGTCGCGAATGGGCGGCAAGCCGCCTCTGTGCGCTGGAATCGTGCAACTTAGGCTAATGCTCATTTCTTAGGGTCTTTACTGTTTAAGCGAAGATGCAAGAAGAATACACGACAGCATCAAACTACTGCTTTGATGGGACCTGACCCTTCGCAAACTTCATATGATCCGTCGTATCTCTACACAGCGACCTGACCCCATTCATAAGAGGCGCGCTTGAACGGAGTCCGCCATACTGAGAGACAGTTTGCGAGATCCCATTCATCACCAATGTGAAATGGAGGGGAACCGAATGTTACGGTCATGTCCCCAATTATTGAGCTGAATGCAGGGGATATGTTGGTCCCGCAGAAGATATGCTACAGGCACACTTAGTGGATTCGATCCTACGGATGCGTTTTTATATAATGGCTAGAAGATTTCATGTCGTATCTGACCGAATCAGTTGCAAATACGGCTCCTCCCGAACTCAGTGGCGTTTATACGACCAATCACATCCCGAAATGTGGACTAACGTATACAAGTGAGAATTATAAGATGATGATGCATGCGTAAGGCAGATAGATTTAAAATATCTATATTTTGCATTCCAGCTAATTCCTGAATACATTAAGCAAGGTGCATCGTGTCTAGTCACTTCGTTCCATGTCTATACCGATTTCAATGTCGTGGCCGATGAGCCTTATTTGGATTCCGCAGCGACCTCTTTATCGGTTGCTGTTCTATATATACCGAACACTCACATTTTAGATGTTACATCTTCAAATCATACCAAAACGATCTTTGTCCGGATAAGCCCGGCAAAGCGACTACATTTTTTATAATGGAGCTCCGCAAGACACTGCAAAATTTAGAGTACGTTCTGATATCATGGATGCTTGAATATGGGATAGCTCAACTGAGACATACACTTGCACTTGTACATTATCCTAGGAAGTACAAGTAAAATATATTAAGTGTTAACTACCCTTCGTTCTGAACCATACCATATGCAGTATAAGACCAGCACTACAACTTTAACTAGTCAAGTTACACCTGGTAAACATTAGCGGGAACATCAACGTGTGTCGAACCTGGACCCATATGGCGTCCGTATGTCGTCGTCTCACCTATCATCTCCGATTGAACTTCGACATGAAGATCTGTTTACACATTCCCACATGTGAAGGTGTCGCGTCTTGGCCCCTCCTGTCGGCTTGCTAACCAATCAGGTGAGGCTGCCCTTTATCTGTCATGGGTCTTGCAGTCTCCATCCGAGCTCCATGATCTGACAGAAACAACATCTTATACCACCAACTACAAAAGCGTGTTTGTAAATGCGGAGTATTCTTCAATTGAATTATCCGGTCACGCATTTACTAAGATGTCGAAAGCTTAGGCCGCACATAGAGTGACCGGTAAAAGAATGACGTTCAAGTCAGCGCTCAATTCTAGACTCTGGTCGTCACGGTGTAGTCATAAGCAGACTCCACTGTAGCTGATACATGTGAAGTGCTCGCTAACGATGGTGTACTTCATCTGTGATAAGGCCACCAAGTTGTAGTATAATGAATAAATATGCGAGTATAATTTTACGATAGTATTAAAATGTTTGTAAATCGTTTTCGGCAGTACAAAAATATACTGATTAGTTGACTTTGACCATGGTGTAGACGGAAAACAATTAATTTCGGATATATCCATGATTATTGTCACCAACGATATCACAAATTAAGGATAGTTACGCGCAATCAGTGGTGAGCAATAAGACCGCTTGCACGCTTGCAATACATACATAAAATATGAAGGATTTAGTACTACTTAAATTTGGTACTAAGGTACATGGTAGACAATTCTATTTGCTACCTCACATCCAAATTGCCGAACCATTTGGCTGAGCTCATCTCCGCGCTACCGTGCACGCGATATTTCGATGGAAAAAACGAGCTGTTATCATTATGAGTTGGGGTGCTTCATAGCACCTGGTAGCACTGGTAGATTCGTCGATTAATTAAAGGACCAATTTATGATGTACACGGTGCGATAAAAAGTCTTAAGTATAGTATACGATATATTATCGTACGATATGGCTCGAATATAAAGGCGGTTGTGAACTCGTACGTTTGACTGTCGTCAGTCACTTATAAGTGCAGTGAGCAATAGTGTACTATTGTCCAATTTATTCAGTATGATCTTGACGTGGCTCAAAGAACAGCTTCCCTGATTCACCGACGAATGCAAAAGACAGGCTGAATTGACAACAAATCCATCGCCTTAGATGTTCTAAAAGTAGCAAAGTAATTATTTACAAGTTTGGTGAATGTTCGTCCGTCCATATAATTTCGCTTCGAGAGAAACTTCGATGTTGCAGAAAGGTTCTTCTTTTACTCGTTAATACAGGAAAGGAAGAGCATTCCT